CCAGGACAGCCAGAGTTGCAACTTCCAATACTTATGCAGCATAGTTTGTGCCACTGCCTGTTCACTCATCTGCTTCAAAAGACTGAAGATCTTCAAGGAGTCCATCGTATGATACAAAAGGTACAAGTTGTTGTTGCTGGAGGACAGAGGTGCAGGATTAACTGGGCTCTTGAATCGCACTGTCATAGGAATGGAAACGGACGACTTAAAGACGGAATTCAGCTCTGGTGGATGGCAGTCTCAATTGCCTGCACTATAGATGGTGAGTTCACAGTGGGGTCTGACTAAACAGACCTTATCAATGACAGTCATAGTTGTGATCTCAGTCTGCATGTCCATCCTCATGTTTAATATGCAACCAGCAATGCTGGAGCAATGCTGAACTGTGCCCCGACTATCTCCAAAGAAGATACGGATGTCGGTCAGTGACATCTTAGCATCTCTTGTGATTTAAAAATCTCTTAAAGCCTTGCCCAACGATGTCAGCAACTAAAGTGTTCATGCCTTGGCCAAGCCCGGACCAAAACCAAAGGCTCTTGTGCTGCATCTTTTCTGCATCTCCTACAGTCCCCGTGCTGCCTTCCTTTCCTTGCTGCTCTTCTGTGCTCCACTTGTTGCTCTCTTCACCATAGCTACCTACCACTGTATGATGGATGCTGCAGAGCTGATGTTTGCATCGCAGGAAGCTTTCAGTTTATGCTGCTGGAGTCGTGCACCCATTATCTTTGGTTCCTGATCCTCTGCCTCAGAAGGCTTGTCCTCCTGTGTCGGTCTGCTCTGTTGGCCTAGATTCTACTGAAAAACAGGATAAGAATAAGAGCTCTACACCTTGGATATTAGGGACAAATTGAATTATTGTATATATCTTTAGTATCACCACTATCTTTGGTCCATCGAGCACCACTGCCAGATATATTTTCATTCAACATTTACAATAATATTATGTGTTATTGTAACTGCAATATTAAGGTAAGTTATGTTTTAGCCTCAAAATAAATGACGTTTTTGATGTTGTATTCTTTTTTTAAACTGAGAATCACAGATGTAGAAAAACATACCTTTGCACTTTTCTTGTTGTCGAACAACTTTCTGCAGACATTCTGTCAGCTTCTTCTCACTGCTTATACTGCACCGACGTATGCAGCTACTTCTTTCCTCGTCCGTTATCGTGCAGCAACACAGGAAAAGAAGAAGTGCCCATATTTCCAAATAAAGCCAGTCTTCCCTCCAATACACTAACACCTACATTGCTGAGGTAAAACCTTCCTTTATCCCATTTGTGCCATTTTGCCTGCATTAATGTGCCTCACAGCTGCACTTGCCCACTTTTTGACTTTAAATACCATTTAAGCTTATTTATATCCTATTTAAGAAGATTAGTATTCTTACTCTGCCATTGGCTGCAAATATTTCCGAAGCTGTTGGAAATGTTTGTTGCAAATATTCAGTGTGGATTTTCTAGCCCATTTCAGGATTTGTTTACTTACATAACTGCACTGGTAATTTTCTATAAAAGTGCATGTTAACATACTAAGCAAAACAGAGCAAAACGCAACATAGCCAGTTTACAGTAGGAAGACTGGAACACATTGCCAGGTCTTACCTTGTGCATCATGTAATGTGAGACACAAATTAGCTATACAATACTAGACAGGAGTGAAATGTTCCCCTTTACCTGGTATTCACTGTGCGCGCACAGCAGCTCGCACTCAGATGACCATTAGCTGTAAAGCATCAGACTGGAGTGAATATTCTCCCCATGTATATGGACTGAACCATATATAAACCATACAGTTTCAGACAGGAGTGAATTGCTTTCTTTTATTCAGTGTGTAATTATATTATAGCTGACACAGAAACACACACATGGCATATAATACACAGCAGAAGATAACTGTTTCTTTGTATGTGCTTTAGCTGATACCAGTGACTTCTGCCATTCCTTCATTGACCTTCACAAGCTCGTATGTGCCAGAAGCCCAGCACAGGTTTGCCAGACTCCAGAATAAAATACAATTTTGATAGATCACAAATGGCAACAAAGGTGAAAGATATTGGTCTCACTGCAATGTACAAGATGCTCAGCAAAACCTATACAATATAGGCAACATTCAATCATGTTAAATGAAAGTAAAACAGCTACTTCCATTCAGGAAGCACATCACATATACCATGTACATCAAAAGCAAAAAATCTCTGAAAATTGAAAGTACAAGGAAGGTGGGGAGTGAAGAATTAGCCAGAGGAGAAGAAACAAGACATTGAACATTCATTTAAGTGACAGGTGTAAATATAGAGAAGGACTGATTGTATTAAAGAATTATTTCACAAATATTTAACATGCACTGAAAGAAGTTCAGTAACATGCACCGGAAGAAAATGTTTAACTTGTACTGTGGAGTCCCGTAGTGTAGTGGTTAACGGGCTTGCCTCGTAAGCGAGAGGACAAGGGTTCGATTTCAGGCGAGGAGAGACCTTAGGCAAATTTCCTTACTCCTCACACCTCTTTACCTAGCAGTAAATAGGAACCCAGTTGTTGACAGATCACTTTGTGGGGATAAAAATCGCTCCAGGAAAAAAATCCATGATTGTTTGTGGGACACTGCTATGTGCAATTTGCCTACAAAATACACAGTCAATTCACTTTACAATATATTCTTTATACAATAAGCGCTTTGAGAAGCCTCAACAATGTGATAAGGCATTATATCAAATGCAAGGATTATTATTAAGTTCTGTAAATTGCCATTGCTAATGGCCTAGAGAATATGTACAGTTCTCTGTCATGAAATTGATACTTCTCTATCTCTGATATCAAAAGTAACGTCACTATCAACATGGCAATTGTGCACACAGCTAATCCCCATCTTGCATTTCAACCACTGAGGACAATATAGATACTTCTGGGCTTCTGGCCCTTACGAGCTTGTGAAGGTCAATAAGGAATGGCAAAAGTCATTGGTATCAGCTAAAGCACATACAAGGCAACAGTTATCTTCTGCTGTGTATTATAATCTGTGTTCAGATTTCATTTACAAGCTCCTCAAAGTTCACACCTTCAAGGCACGTTGTGAACTCCTCAATATGCCTTAATTGTAATTGAAAAGTATTTGCATCGTTTATACCTTTGCCTTGTCAAAAAAGATGCTTGTAGATAAAAGACAGTGCCATTGCAAACTTGCTCCATGGCACAACCCAGACTGAAAAAAACTGACGTCTCATTTAAGTGTTCTTATAACAATGAACCACCAGTCACAAGATCAATCAGCCTGTACTTGTAATGTCCACTTACTAACATGACCATTTCCACAGATCAGGGATGTGCTGGAACAATCATCTCCATTTGTAGAGCTTACAGAAGTACCTGGAAAGTAGTGTTCTCACCTCAGCTTCACATGCAGTTACGGAAACAATTTGCTTCCCTTAGAGGGTTAAAGTGCAGTGAAGAATTTGTTAGGAAAGCTGCGCCTTTCTTTTAGATCATTTTTGAATATTTGAATGACAGAGACATGGAGGAAAAGAGTGAGGGAGCCAAGGAGACTGAGACTAAGAGACAGGCAGAGAAACATATCGAAAAAAGGGACAGAGAAATGCAGATAGATAGGGTGAAACAGACAGAGGTAGAGAGTCTGAAAGAGGCAGGGAGAAAAACACACAGTGAGGCTGTCATACATTCAGCGACAGAGCATCCGATAAGGAACATATTTTGTGAGATCCTCCCAAAAGATACCATGTTTATTACAACCGAATTTTGATTTTTTTCTTTAACTGATACAAGACATGTAAAACATATTGACTGATTGGGGGAATGGGGGATCAATACAATACAAGTTATTTTAGCAGGTTCATAAGACACAAAACGTTTTAAAAGATTTGTAAGAGGTTACTTGATGGCAGTTCAGGTAAATCTTTGTACCATGAAGTTGATGGCTACAGATTTTAGGGTTCATGTTTCTGTAGGCAGAAACTATTGTGGAGATTGTGGGTAGGCAGTGCATCCTATATTATTGCTGCATGAATGGATTTATGAATAATGATCCTCACATAATAACTGAAAAGTTGATTGTACTTGATTACCCGGAAATAATAGAGATAAACAGGCACACATGCTCAGTATAAACACAGCCTGACATACTAAGGCACATACCAGAAAAATAGCTGTGGAACTGCTCAATCATTAACCACAGAAGAGAAAATACATGTTTTGTTTTGCAAATCTTCATCCATTTGAGCGAAACACAAATAACACTTTGCATTCAGGATCGTCTGTTAATATCCCTCATAAAATTCAATCCTGCCTCAATAAAATATCATTCTCGATTAGCCTTTGACGACTGTTTCAGGTTAACTTGAATTCCAGCCCATCACTTCCACCCCCAGAGACGAAAGAAATGAATAAAAAACATGCATCTATTCTGACGCTTTTTGGGGAGATCAGTGAGGGATTTGGGGGAGGGAGTGAGGAGATCCTCACTGTGCGGACCTGTAACTAACTCTACTCTTTCCTGTAGTTGAAGGAATCATTTCAGAGTGTATATTTACAGATGCAATGTAACGAGCTTTTCCCACTTTCATTGTGAATGCTCAGGATCACCGAAGGACCGAGACTTAAAAAAAGACCCGAACGTAACTCTAATTTCTCACCGAGCGGTCTGTCCCGAGTCCTGAGCGTTATATAATTTAACTTTCAAAATGCATTTCTATATAGATTTAAAAAGCTACACCGCGTGTTTCCCTCTCCCCCCCCCCCCCCCACCACCACCTCCCCCCCGATTTAACAAAGTGGAACTAACAAAAAAGGACAATAACGATTATTTGAGCACAACATTTTTTTAAAAAAAACAATTGCAATTAAAACATTGCGACCTGATAGTACAAGCGGTGCTTCCTCGCTTTCGTTTGCAGATATCGGAATGGATAAAGTTGAGGAGGAGGGAGGGAGGGAGGGATGGAGGGAGGGATGGATGGAGGAGGTCGGGGGTGAGGGTTGGTGGACTTACTCTGGGTTGCAGATGATCGCTGCCCTGGTGCTGATGGCCGGGTGCTTGTGGTTCGGATCCCGGTCCTGATGCTGGGGGTCTGGCTGCTGCTGCTGCTGCTGCTGCTGCTGATGGTGGTGGTGGTGGTGGTGGTGGCCGCCGCCGCTCACCGGCTGATCTTTCAGGCTCTGGTTCTCCTCCAGCAGCTCCTCCACTTTCCTCTCCAGCTCGTGGATCCTGTGCCTCTGCGTCTGGATCAGCGTCTGCTGGTTCTGCACGATGGTGGTCAGCTCTTTGAGGTACAGCACAGCTCTCATCGGATTCTCCATCAGGCTCTCCATGGCCGGGAAAGGGAGGGAGGGATGCTGCGGGGACGCTGGGAGAGAGAGGGAGAGAGGGAGAGGGAGGAGGGAGGGAGGGAGGGAGGAGGGAGAGGGAGATGCAGGAGAAGGGAAGATGCTGATCACGGCTGAGGCTCTGCTCCTGGAGCAGCTGGAGACTGACGCACAGCCACGGCGATTAAAGGGAACTGCTGATACTTAAAGGCGCCGGGGGATGGGAGAGGGGGATGGGTGGTGGGGGGGAGACATCTAGCAACCCCCCCCCCCAAAAAAAAAAACCCCAAAACAAAAGTGATTAACAACCAAAGACGTGCAGAGCATCCTGTAAAAACAGGAACCATTTTATTTCCTTCAATTCGTTTGATTTATGAATTGCGTCCGCACTTCAGCTCTAAATCTCACAGATCTTAGAGAAAACCAAGGGGCCCGGATCCAGCACCCGGTCGGCTGTTATGCCGACAAATAATCGTGACCAACATTAGCCTAAAATGGGAATAAGTAATTCGAACAAACATCGCGGATTTTGTTTTCCAGAAAAGAGATAAATAGGGTGGTTATGGTTATTTGGTTTCGTTTCCAATGGGGGTTAAAGCCACCTCTGTGCTGTGTGTACACAACCCTCTGGGCTGTGTGTTTGTGCATATGCGGGGAAAGCTTTGGGTGTTCAAGGCAAGTTGCTGTGGATGAGCAGTTGGTGGGGATGCAAACTTAATGCTATAATGAAGTAAAGGGAAGGTGGTTTTTTTCCCCCCCAAGCACAGGGCATCTGTTTTTTTTCTGTGCTGCGGATTGCTACGGTTCCAGGTTTGGGCAAGTCAGTAAAAACAGGCACTCACAAACCTGGGATCACACGTCAGAGCAACATTTTCATTCAGACGTCTTTGCAAAATAAATGGTCCTCTCTCTCTCTCTCTCTCTCCCATTAACATCCGCCTCCTCAGCCCAGGGATCAAAGGAAAAGTTGAAATCTCAGATGTGACGGTGATTCCGTTAAGTATCTTATTTGATGATCTGTCCAATGATTTTTTTTAAAAAAATGAAATGCTTTAATGTTACCCAAGCGATGGCGCTGCTCATTATTTGAGAGATTTTATAAACCCGAGAGAGTAAGGGTAGAAGATGCAAAAAAAAACAGTTCCCAGGGAGTGAGACTCCCTTCTCTTTCTCCAAGTAAATCAACACGTTTCGGTTACGTCTCAAACATAGAAATGCATCAAATTGAAGTTGCTCCACTCCTACACGTCTGGGAAGATCTGGAAAAAAAAACAAGAAGACTATTTAAAACTGTTAATTTAAGATGATGCAAAGTGGTAGTAAAGAAAGTCAGACGTCGCATTTGAGGCGTTCGGTGGGGATCAGTATTAAATCTAATGAGGAGCGTGAGATTGGGAACCAGTTCAGAGCAAGAATATTGCCTGAAATGCATTAAGCAGGCGATTTGTCACGATTTTTTTTTCTTTGCTTAAAACAAATGATTTCTGAAAGAGGTTCTTTTTTGTCACCTTTGAAATTAGCTGGAAATTGTTTGTCAGAGGAAATGGCGAACAGCTCAACACGCAGGACAGTTGCCCTTGAGGTGTTCCTGTTCTTTGGGTTTAGCTCTGCTGTAATAACACTGTTTGATTTTTAATTGATAAAACTTTGCAGAAGTGCACAGCATCGCCCATGCTGATTCGATCATTGGAGTAAGAGAATACGCTATAAATCAAGCTTGGTTTAAATGACCTGTTGCTTGGGAATATTAGGCAGCGACATATCTGTCTCCCTGGGCTGGTCAGTGTCTTAAGTTTCCATCTGATTCGCATTGGCTCTGAACAAAGTCTGATGTTAAAGCAATGCAACTATTCAATTTACCGTAAAATGGGTAACTTTTTACTGTAATATTAGGCTCAATTACTAAATCATACTCCAAAGCACAATTTGGTTTTGAAATATATACTGTAAGAACTCCTTGCATCTCGCTGACTCTTTTCTCCTCTCCACTCTTTTGTCATTCTTTATTCGATGTTAACTTTAAATGGTGCAAAACGTTGCCATCTAACCATAGCAGCTCCTGCCTTCAATACGGATGGAGGCAGCAGAGCAAAGTTCCCTCTAATGTTATGGTGACGCTTCTCTCAGAGAAAACAAAATAGAGATTCCTGGTGCGTTTTAAGTGTCAGTTTAAATATCTTTTTCAATGGTTATTTTCATCGTGTCGGAGCACCAGAGACCAGGCTGGGGAAGCCCACCGCAGTACCCTGGATGTTTTTTTTTTACTGCACTGTGTGAATTTATCACGGATTTATCATGTCCACTTGTGAGCAATGCGATTCATACATTTGGTGAAATGCTTTACAGCCACTTTCTTTTTTTACACGCACCAATTTGGAGAAGGCTAATCCCCTCTTTAGATCACAGGCGGCCTCTGCTATCTTTCCTAATTTAAAAATAAATGTTATACTCCAATCCACTTCATTGTCTTCTTCTTCTTCCTGGGTCTCGTCGTGTCCTGAAATATCCTACTGAAATATCCTCTATGACTTGAAACAGAGGAGTCCTGTAGCTCAGTGGTTAGAGCACTCGCTTTGCAAGTGAGGAGACCTGGGTTCAATTCCAGGCAGAGCGAAACCTTGGGCAAGTTTCCTTACTCCACACAGAGCCTAATAATAATCCCTCCAAAACCAAAAATAATAATAAAAAATTGGTCATTTTCAATCCATGACTGTCTGTGGGACAATGCTGTGCACAATTGGCTGCTGGGTTCACCCACAAATATACAGTCAATTCACTTTACAGTATATTCTGTGAAGCGCTTTGGGACTCCTCCCGACGTGAAAAGCGCTATATCAAATGCAAGGATGATGATGATGATATATTATTATTATTATTATTATTATTATTATTATTATTATTATTATTATTATTATTATTATAATAATAATAATAATAATAATAGGAGGGAACAACCCTGTTTTCAGCAGATTTCAGAGTTGCAGGGGTGGATATTGACTTGCAGAAACATGTGAGAGAGTCAGGAAGATTTACAGTCAGAATGAAATACAGATATTTGTAGACCGTTCGGTGCAGCAGAAATGCGATGGAAACGAAGACAGATTTGAGTCACGCACCGTTTGGCAATGATGACATATTATGTGTTGTGGAGCGGGAGCAGCTTTTAAAAGTCTTGAATGATTTTTTTTTAAAAAAGAAGCAGCTTAAGAGACAGGGATTTCCAGAAAATGATATGTCAAACCTCTTACGATCACACAGTTGGTGATACCACCAAATTTTTTAGCACTAAACCAGGAACAACCAAATGAGTAAAGCTTGGGTAGCCCCCATCAGATCCATCAGACATGATAAGGTGCTATATCAAATGCAAGGATTATTATTATTATCCAGAGAGGAAGATCAAACGTGGCATTATAAGGTAACCACCTGGCTCATTTGGAGGTGTCAACCTGGCTCAGCAGTCTCGCCCCTGAGTCAGAAAGTTGTGAGTTCAAACCCCTAGTTGGGATCTCAGTCTACAGAATGAGTTGGAGTAGGAGGCAACACAGTCTTTCTGAGATTACAGGGATGTACAACAACAACAGTAAAATTACATTTATAGAGCGCCTTTCACGTTGGGAGAACATCCCAAGGTGCTGGACACTCAGGGGTCAGGACCTGAGCATGGGGCAGGGGTGGGGTAGGGGTGAGGGAAGGCAGAGAGGTGGAAGGGTGACTGTAGGTACGATCGAAGAGGAGGATCTTGAGACCGGTCTTGAAGGAGGCAATGGAGGAAGCAAGGCAAAGGGACTGTGGGATAGAGTTCCAGAGTGTGGGGTCAGAGAGGCTGAAAGCCCAGCCACTGATGGTAGGACGAGTTGGGCGCGAGACATGGAGCAGGCTGGAGCCCTGAACAGAGGGAGCAGGCAGGTTGGTAGGGAGTCAGCAGGTCAGAGAGGTAGGAGGGGGCAAAGCCATGAATGGCTTTGAAAGTGAGGACGAGAATCTTGAATTCGAACCTCTGAGGGTTGGGGAGCCAGTGGAGTCGGCCGAGGGTGGGAATGGTGGGGTCACGGAGCCTAGTGCGCGAGAGTACACAAGCTGCAGAGCTTTGGATGATCTGCAGCTTGTGAAATGTATTTGATGCTTGGGAAGAATAAGAGAGGCATAATCAAAGCAACAATGGCCACAGCAGTATCAATAAATAAAGACAAGAATGGGTGAAGTAGGAAGATTGATTGGAGGCCTGAGGTGAAAGAAGGATGATAAGCCTTTTCTTGTGTCCTTTTTGGATCACCAGCTGAAACCAGAAATTGTATAAAATAGGACATAAACCATTTACTTACACAAGATCACCACAGGCAGAAGTCAGCAACATAGAAAAGAGAGAGATTTCTTTCCGCATTTAGAGTAGGCAGTGTGAAAAAAGCTAACCTATTAGGAAAAATCCCACCTTACAGGGATGATTAACAATAACAATTGTCAGCAATAACAAAATGCCCTTCTGTGCATACTATTAAGACAGATAAGGGACAAACTGTCTTGTTTTCAAATTAACTGTGGCTGATTTTAAAGTGGTGCAGTATTTCCAAGTCTATGTGTTTGTAGTGGATTTTTAGTCAGATAGAAATGCTCAGCTAAATCTGTATGCTTCAATGTTCAGCGCAGTAGAGTAGCAATGGATATGGATTAATTCTGCTTAGTTCCCTACTCAAATTCTTGTTGAGGCCTCGAGCATAGGCTCCGCTATCTCCGAGCAGAGGAGGGAATGCAGTACCATAAGGCAACATTCCATCTGGGCCATCTCTGCAACCTCCTGGCAGCTGGCTACGGAGTCTATTGCCAACCAACTGGGGGTACGCCATGTGCCAACCCACTTGCCTCTGGGGCAAAGAACACAAGATATAAATAGAAAAAATAAACTATGAGTGGATCTGAATAATGGCAGTAAAATAAAGGATAAGGAAAAAAATGGGTTGTTTACTTAGACATACATGTGTTCATAAGAATGCTCAACTGCAGAGCTGTATTAGCTCAGTGCAATTATTTTGGTCAGCCGGGTATCTAACAC